CCATACCACAACCACCCGCATCCCCCCGCCCCCCATCCATGGCCTCCCCGTGGCACAACCCACCCGTGGCACTCCCAAGTGTTAGTCCAGGATACAGTACAAATCATGGACAGGTCACGAGCCATGAACTTTTGTTTACAGCCCGTGACCTGTCCCTGAGTTTTACTAAAAATACCTGTGACTCTAAGAGAGTCTTACCCATGATATTAGCGCCTGGGAGTTAATTGATCTTCCTGGGTCAGTTGATGCTCCCTCCTGCATTGTGATCTGGGGCCCAGATTGAGCAGCTATTGCTCCCACAGCGGGATGCATAGACAATCCAGGAAGTTTTTGGAAAGCGTAGGGGACAATTTCCTGGCGCAAGTGCTCGAGGAGCCAACTAGGGGGGGCGCTTTTCTTGACCTGCTGCTCACAAACCGGGTAGAATTAGTGGGGGAAGCAAAAGTGGATGGGAATCTGGGGGGCAGTGACCATGAGTTGGTTGAGTTCAGGATCCTGACACAGGGAAGAAAGGTAAGCAGCACGATACGGACCCTGGACTTCAGGAAAGCAGACTTCGACTCCCTCAGGGAACGGATGGCCAGGATCCCCTGGGGGACTAACTTGAAGGGGAAAGGAGTCCAGGAGAGCTGGCTGTATTTCAAGGAATCCCTGTTGAGTCTCACTTCAGTCCCTGGAAAAATCATGGAGCAGGTCCTCAAAGAATCAATCCTGAAGCACTTGCATGAGAGGAAAGTGATCAGGAACAGCCAGCATGGATTCACCAAGGGAAGGTCATGCCTGACTAATCTAATCGCCTTCTATGATGAGATTACTGGTTCTGTGGATGAAGGGAAAGCAGTGGATGTATTGTTTCTTGACTTTAGCAAAGCTTTTGACACGGTCTCCCACAGTATTCTTGTCAGCAAGTTAAGGAAGTATGGGCTGGATGAATGCACTACAAGGTGGGTAGAAAGCTGGCTAGATTGTCGGGCTCAACGGGTAGTGATCAATGGCTCCATGTCTAGTTGGCAGCCGGTATCAAGTGGTGTGCCCCAAGGGTCGGTCCTGGGGCCGGTTTTGTTCAATATCTTCATAAATGATCTGGAGGATGGTGTGGATTGCACTCTCAGCAAATTTGCGGATGATACTAAACTGGGAGGAGTGGTAGATACGCTGGAGGGGAGGGATAGGATACAGAGGGACCTAGACAAATTGGAGGATTGGGCCAAAAGAAATCTGATGAGGTTCAATAAGGATAAGTGCAGGGTCCTGCACTTAGGACGGAAGAACCCAATGCACAGCTACAGACTAGGGACCGAATGGCTAGGCAGCAGTTCTGCGGAAAAGGACCTAGGGGTGACAGTGGACGAGAAGCTGGATATGAGTCAGCAGTGTGCCCTTGTTGCCAAGAAGGCCAATGGCATTTTGGGATGTATAAGTAGGGGCATAGCGAGCAGATCGAGGGACGTGATCGTTCCCCTCTATTCGACATTGGTGAGGCCTCATCTGGAGTACTGTGTCCAGTTTTGGGCCCCACACTTCAAGAAGGATGTGGATAAATTGGAGAGAGTCCAGCGAAGGGCAACAAAAATGATTAGGGGTCTGGAACATATGAGTTATGAGGAGAGGCTGAGGGAGCTGGGATTGTTTAGCCTGCAGAAGAGAAGAATGAGGGGGGATTTGATAGCTGTTTTCAACTACCTGAAAGGGGGTTCCAAAGAGGATGGCTCTAGACTGTTCTCAATGGTATCAGATGACAGAACGAGGAGTAATGGTCTCAAGTTACAGTGGGGGAGGTTTAGATTGGATATTAGGAAAAACTTTTTCACTATGAGGGTGGTGAAACACTGGAATGCGTTACCTAGGGAGGTGGTAGAATCTCCTTCCTTAGAGGTTTTTAAGGTCAGGCTTGACAAAGCCCTGGCTGGGATGATTTAACTGGGAATTGGTCCTGCTTTGAGCAGGGGGTTGGACTAGATGACCTTCTGGGGTCCCTTCCAACCCTTATATTCTATGATTCTATGATTCTATGATCTGTGCCAAGGAGAGACCTTCAATAACCCCCCTCTGTGTCCAACTGGGAGAGGGGGAGGGCTTTCTCCGGTGGGTGGAAACAACCCCTGGGCAACTCCGGGTTCTGCCGACACCAGCCCCTGAGCCGGAGCCTACAGGTGAGGGGAGAGATCCGGGGGAAAGGGCTGGGGTCGGGCAGGAAAGTGACTCTGCACAAAGGGCCCCTTTCAGGGACCTGCTGGTGAGTTTGTACCGAAGAGGGAGGGGGCTCCCCGTGGGTCTGCAGGTCCCAGAGCTGCTGCCCTCAGTGACACAGCCAGGCTCACACTGGAGAGCGAGCGCACCTGGGAACGGGACAGTCCCCAGTTCTCCCAGGCAGAGGGGAGAGGGAAGGAGACAGGAAGGGGAATGGTGAGACTGAAAGGGGCAGCAGGAGCAAGAAGTGGGGAGGGAGGATCCCAGCTCCCAGACCCGCCCGGATCCATTCCCTGCATCCCCCTGGGCAGCCTGACTCTCCTAGGAACAAGGGCAGAAGCTGACAGAGGAAAAACTAGGCTCTGCTTCTGCCTAGTCCCCGCTGCTGTGGGGACGCGCTGCCCTCGGGGCCAATATCAGGGGAAATCCCCCAAAGTGGTTCCTTTGATTCTGCTCTTTTCTAGCATTTGTCTCAGAGACTCTGTCCCTGGTGGGGTTTAAAAGTGTCCTGGGGGTTCAGTGCTGGAGGGAGGGGCCGGGTCTGTGTTGTGATAAAGTGACTGTGAGTTTTCCTAGCGTAGCAGAGCCCAGAGCGTCTATCTGCAGGGAGGGAGCCTGGGGGGAGTGGGGGTGTGAAATGGACTCAAGCCCCTTCTGAAACCTCCCCCGTCGCCCCTCTCGCCCTGACAGGCTGAGGAATCACGTCCACGTTTCACTGCAGATCCTCCCGTCTTCCAGGGGACAGGGAAGGGAAATGGCTGTGATGGAGCCAGCTCAGGCAGGGGATTTTCAGGGAGCTACGGGAGGTTGGTGTAGATGGGGAGGGGCAGGAAACACACAGGATGAGGCAGAGAGGGGACAGGGTGTGATAAATCTGCTGGGGCACATTCAATATGGAGCCTGATTTTTTGAACAGTCCCATTGGCGGGAGGGGGGAATATTCCCCAATTTCTGATATAGAAAACACCCCCCTGGGCAGGGCTGGGAAAACTGACCAGACTCCCAGTGCTGCAGCCTGACCCCACTGGCCAGAGGCTGCTGTGAAATACGAAGGGAAGCTGTTGGGATTCCTGTCCCTGTCCCTGGCTCAGAGCTCTGCTTCCCGTATCAGCCTGTGGCTGGCAGGCATGTGGGAAATGAGAAGACCTTGCCCTGCTCTGCATGCTGGGGGGGACAAGCAGCTCTCACCTTCTCCCCACCCCCTGAAGCCTCCTGGCTGCTCTAAGTGGGGGTGGGATTCTGCTTCTTTGGGCCTTCTCCCCTGTGACTAGTGGGATTGTGGCTGGGGCAGCAGGCACTGAATGGGGGAGACTTGTTGTTTCAGATGCCGGTGACCTTCGAGGAGGTGGCTGTGTATTTCACCGTGGGGCAGGGGGCTCTGCTGGACCCCGCTCAGAGAGCCCTCTACAGGGACATCATGCAGGAGAACTATGTGATGGTGACCTCGCTGGGTAAGGGATTCCTGTGGCCTCAGCTAATGGAAGCCATGGGGCTTGCGTGTCTGAATCTGGTCAGGTTCTTCCTGGTCAGGTGGATTGGAGGAGGAGGGTCGCATAGTCCACATGTCCAGTGTGAGAGAGACTTGCATCTCTATACCCCATTCAAGGGAACAGGAGAGCCAGACAACTAATGGGCAGGCTAATTCATCCCCATCTCTCCAACTGTCCAGGGTCAGAAGCAGGGTGGTGCCCTGTCCGTATTATTCTCCTTCACTCACCATTCACCTTGCTCCATCTGTGGGGAGGGCTCTAGGTTCTGCAGGCTTGGAAATAGGCAGGAGTTTAACACCAGAGCTGTGTGTGTGTCAGCAAGTCCCCCAGAGCGCATCTACCTTGAGACCTCCTAGTGCGGGGGTAGCAACACCTCTGCACCCTCAGATCTCTGCTGCTCCCACGGGGTCTGAGTTACCACGGTCCCATGTAGGGTCAGGTTAATCTCAGGGAATGTTCCTTGTGACAAATACTCTACCAATGTTCCATGCGCCCTGACCTTGCCTGATTTCACCCCCTGTCCAGGATTCCTCGCTCCCAAACCTGACCTCATCGCCCAGCTGGAACGCGGGGAAGAGCCGTGGGTCCCAGATCTCCAGGCCGACGAGGAAAGAGGGAGCCCAAGAGGCACCTGCACAGGTGAGGAGTCAGGGAAACTGAGACAGAACCGTCTGGCGAGTGAAGGAAAAAGCTGAGACTCCTGAAATGTGCTGTGAGCGAGAGCCCCCAGTTCTGCCCCATCTCACCCAGGTCAGGGCTGCAGTCAGCAGGTGTTGTAGCATCAAGGCAAATATCAGTCATGGCTTCCCACCCATCCTGTTAGCTGTTGGGAATTTCCTCCCTGACTTTACTTCCCTGGGAGTGTTTGGTTGGGATGTGGAGGCAGAATCCAATGTCTCCAGCTCCCCAACAGTCACTGTGTGGTGTTTTCCCTCTTTGCTATTCCCCTTTTGGTCCTTTCTCCCCGGCACATTCAGTGACTCCTGACTGGATTCTCTCTCTCCCAGCAGGTGATAGGACAGTGAGTGAGAACAAGGAGGAGACTCAGCAGCAGGAAGGTCCTGGGAAAGTGGAACCGCAGGAGATGTTTTTGAGAAGAGCTGAAGGGAATTTTTCCCAGTGCTTGGAGCAGGGAAATGCCTGGGGAGATCGACACAGATCAGAGATGCAGCTGGAAAACTATCCTGGGAAGAAACTGGATGAATCCACTGAATGTGGCAGAAGATGTAAGGATCACAAGGAAACCACAGTCCAGCAGACAAGTCAGAATGAAGAGAAACCCTACAAATGCCTTGACTGTGGGAAAAGATTCCAATTCAGTGCAAACCTTGTTAAACATTGGAGAACCCACACAGGAGAGAAGTCCTATGAATGCTTGGACTGTGGGAAAAGCTTCCGTGAGAAGTCAAACTTTATTACACACCAGAGACTGCACACAAGAGAGAAACCCTATGAATGCCTTGAGTGTGAGAAAAGCTTTAGTCAGAGGTCACAGCTTATGGCACATCACATAACCCACACAGGAGAGAGGCCCTATAAATGCTTCGACTGTGGGAAAAGATTCAGTAGGAAGCAATCTCTTATTGTACACCAGAGACTGCACACAGGAGAGAAACCCCATAAATGCCTTGAGTGTGAGAAAAGTTTTAGTCAGAGCTCACATCTTATTTCACATCACAGAACCCACACAGGAGAGAAGTCCTATAAATGCATAGACTGTGGGAAAAGCTTCAGTTGGAAGTCACTCCTTATTATACACCAGAGAGTACACACAGGAGAGAGACCCTTTAAATGTCTTGAGTGTGGGAAAAGTTTCAGCAAAAGTTCATCCCTTACTAAACATGGAAGAATTCACACAGGAGAAAGACCCTATAAATGCCTTGAGTGTGGGAAAAGTTTCAGTGTGAAATCAACCCTTAATACACATCAGAAAACCCACACAGGAGAGAAACCACATAAATGCTTGGAGTGTGGGAAAAGCTTCATTCAGAAATCAAAACTTAGTATACACCAGAGAGTGCACACAGGAGAGAGACCGTATTAATGCCTTGACTGTGGGAAAACTTTCATAAAGTGCTCACACCTTATTAAGCGTCAGAGAATTCACACAAGCAACAAACCCTATAAATGCCTCAACTGCAGGAAAAGTTTCATTGACAGAATAAAACTTACTAATCATCAGGCAATCCACACAGGAGGCAGACCCCTTAAATGCTTGGACTGTGAGAAAAGCTTCATACACAAATCAAAATTTACTGTACATCAGAGAGTGCACACAGAAAGAGATCCTATAAATGCCTTAAATGTGGGAAAACATTCAGACGGCACTCATACCTTATGAAACATGGGAGAATCCCCATTGTAGAGACACATTATAAATGCCTTGACTGTGGGAAAAGCTTCAATAAGAACTCAGCACTTACCAAACATGAGAGAATCCACAAGGCTGAGAGACCCTAGAAATAGCTTGACTGTGGGAAAAAGATACAATTTGACTTCACACTTCAGTGAGCCACACAACAGAGAGACCTGGAATGTGCGGGAAGGTTCATTTGATGCTCCCGAGTATCAGCAAATCCGCACAGGGAAGAAACCTCTGAGAAGTTGTCAGCGTGGAAAATGCTCCAAGTGAAGCTAACACCATGCTGGACATCGGAGACTCCTCCACACAGCAGGGAAATTCTCTGAGTGCCCTGACTGGAGCCAGCCATGGTGACAAGCCCATTTCCTCGTTCCCGCACACATCAGGGAGATTTTGCTCCCAAGGACCCAACTGCCCATTGCTGGGGTGAGGATCCAGGAGCAGCAGCTGGTCAGTGACCCTCTGGCTCTGCCTGGTGTAAGCAAGCCCCAGGCAGAGGAGGGGAAGCCCCCATCCGCCCCTGCTCCAGCACTGGCTGCTGAGCTGATGGGCCTCAGGGCAGGGAAGGGAGAGAGAGAATCTCCTCCAGCTGCTCCCTCTGCCTGGCTGAAGTTCCCCCCTCTCCCTTCCCCTCCCAGCCAGGACCCCCTGCCATGGAGATGAAGAGAAGGACACTTGGGCCAGGCTGCACCTTCACTCTAGACCCCGTCTCCACCGCCCACCTTCCATCAGTCCCTGGGCTGGGCTCCCCCACTTACCTGGAGCTGTTCCCTGCAGGTGGAGTGTCCCTGGGGGCTGGTAACTCCTCCCTTCCCAAATCCCCCAGGGCGCTGGGCTTTAGGGTATCAATTATTAAGGGACCTGGCCGATGGCTTGTGGGGAGGACACTGAGGATTGAATGGTTGGGGCTGGTGGAACTGGGAAGCAGGGGGAGCTGGGTGCTGGGCTGTTGAGTGTTTGGGGATCATGGGATAAGAGGCGAGGGAGAGCATGGGGTAGAGAGGTGCTGCCTCTCCTCACTCACCCGCTCTACCCTTCTCCCTGTCCCCACTGCATTAAGACAGCACCATTAGCAGAGACTGATTCCCACAGGGCCTTTTGTTGCAGGCCTGGATTTCCCACCTCTGCTACAGCAGCATCAGCCTCTGAGAGGGAAGCAGCGTTGCCTAGTGGATAGAGCACTGGCCTGGGACTCAGGAGACCTAGCTCTGTTCCCAACTCTGCCAGCAGCTTGCAGGGTGACCTGAGACAAATCTGTGCCTTCCAGAGAGGGAATAAATGGGGAGTGATAATATCAGTCTCCGAGTGTCTGTCTAGGGCAGGAAAAGTGGTTGGGATTAGCTAGTGCGTCTCCTTTGTTCCTCCTCCCCTTTTTCTAGTCTAGACTGACCCTGAGCAGTTTATTCCAATCCCCCATTAGCAAAGTGATTGTCAGAGTCACTAAGTGCCCCCTTTGAAGTGAGATTGTCTCATTCCCAGACATCCTCACACTGCTCCAGGTTATGCTGAAAAGCATTTACTTTTTTGTGCTGTTTCTCCCTTATACACCAGAATTCAAAAGGAGCTGGAGCAGGGATAGTAAAATAATGTGGTGTTTTAACTTCTGTGTTATTTGAGAGGGATAGGGTGAATCTGGGGAATTTCCTCCTTCCCCATCAACCTCACACATCTTCTCTCACAGAGCAGCCTCAGTTTGAACCATGGAGAGTTTATCCTTTTCCCTTTCAACCCCTCCACCTTCATGTGTGTCATTTACCACAGTCTCCTTTTCCCACCATGCTTAGGAATCAGGCTTTGATTTCTTTGAACCTCAGTTAGGCCCCTGAGGGCTGGAGAAGAAAATGTCACATTCCTGAAGGGGGAATTCAGATGAACCCCAAAGCACGGTTTGAGCTTCAATCTCAGCCTCCATCTATTGGTAAAGTGGCATCTGGAGTTTTTCCAGCCAAATACAGATCATTTGTAGATGGGAAGTTTTTGGTTGTTTGTCTTTTTCCCCTTCTTTCTTTTATGACAACAATGCTAAAACTTTTGTCAATAACCCAGCCAAATAATGCAGCTGTGCTGAGTAAAGCAGTTTTAGCCTGCTCAGCAGGAAATGGGCAAATTTGTTCCGAAGATTTTGAGTTTTAGGATTCTCTGGGCTTTCACTTCATGAACGGGAAAGTGGTTTGTAGCCCACCCTGGACTATGTTTTTTTCTCTTTTTGATGAAGGTTGTTTTGTCATGTATTTTGATATTAAACTAGTTTGACAGGATGTAGTTCAGATTTCTTGGGGACTGCAAAAGACGAATGATAATTTGCCAAAATAGTCCTTACTGATTTTCCTTTCACATCCGATTTGCTTCTTCTTTGAACAAGGAAAATAATCAGTATCTGTCAGCAAAAACTATGATGGCGAGTTCTGGATACGGACTCCAAGAATCAGAAACTGAAATAGGGAACGAAGTGACTGTCTGATCACTGTACGGTGACCAGATCGCAAGAGTGAAATATCAGGACACATTAGGCGGGGCGAACAGATGACAGACACAGGTGCACAGCCCCGACTGGATCCATGAGAGAGGGCACACAGCTCTAGGAAGCTGCAAGAGGGGTGTACGGCCCCTGCTGCAGCCCTCTCCACAAGCCACAGGGCAAGGACTCATGGCCCCAGCTCCAGCCCCCAATAGAAGTCACGGGGCCAGGGGGCAATAGGACATGCATGGCATGGCCAGAGGCACACTGGTCCGCCTGGCTCTGTGCTACCAGCGTGCCCCTTCCTGTTGGGGGTGGGCCCATGCTGCGCCACACAGCTCCCCTGCCCAGTGCCCCCTGGATCCGCTAGGCCTTGCACCCCCTGAGCAAATGCACAGTGTTGTGCACGCCATCACCCCTACCCAGCGCCCCCTTTCCCACAGCCCCACCACAGCTGCCCAGCACCCCACACAGAACCCCCACTTGCTAGTTTCCCAATACACACAGATTTCCCCGTGCCCTTCCCCACAGCCCCCCCACCACAACTACACAATGCCCCGCACAGACCCCCACTTCCCAGGACCCCTCAACAGGGCCCCACTGCCTAGCACCCCAAAACACACAAACCTCCCCCACTGCCCAGCACCCTCCACACCCTCACAGCCCAGTGCCCCTCACGCACCTCCCAGACACTCACCATCACACCCTGCCCCCTTCCCTGGCCTCACTCACCAGCCCTGCTGGGAGGTCTCTGGCTCCTAGGGTGAGAGCGGCGAGGGGGGGTCTCCAGACTCTCCATGTGCTGCACCAGCCAAAAGTGCAAGCTCCGTGGTTCCCACTGGCCGGGGAAAGTGCCAATGGGAGCTGCTGCAGCCGCGGAGCAGGGCTTGTAGGCACCGGCAGCACGCAGAGCCCCCCACCCTAAGAGTCAGAGGGACCTGCCAGGGGGTGAGGTGGGGAGTCCCAGCATAGCTTACCTGGGGTGGATCCCATCCTGGGAAGCATCCGGCAGGCAGATCCCTCTGGCTCCTAGGGTTGCGGGTCGGGTAGGCGGGAGCAGAGGGTTCTCTGCCCTCTGCCGGCGCCTGCAAGCCCTGCCCCTGCAGCACGTAGGAAAGCTCTCCTCGTTGCCTCTGTGCCTTGGGCCGCACTTCCGGCTCCTGCCAGCGGGCGGGCGCCGGGAGTGCCCCAGGAAGAAGCGGTGAGCAGCGCCGGCGGCTGTGGTCCGGACAGTCCCCGATATCGGGACAAAGGGCGTCCCGACCGATATAAGGTCGGGACACGGGACAAGTCCCCTAAAATTGGGACTGTCCCAATAATATCGGGATGTCTGCTCACCCTAGATCACTGCAGTGATGTGAGATACAGCCATGAGGGGGAGAGGGTGGTTTGGTGGGTGGCCAGGGCCTTGAAAGGACACTGTTTGCTCTTGCGAGCCAGAGAGCTGAGTCTGAGAACTGTGAACTCACTGCAGAAGTCCCAGAGAGAGAGGAAATGTTCTATGAGTGCTGGGTAAAGTCGTCCTTGAACTCTAAAGGGCTACCAATGAAGCCCCAAGAGGACTGATGTGAAGAGGGGTCATCCTCTTCCCCATTGCTGCGAGGAGGAGGCTGGGAAAATGCCTCTCTCATGGATTGTTAGCACTTTTCTACCAGCTTTAACTTGTTCCTCTTTCCCTGGGGCGCGTGTGTGGCAGGAGCAGCAATGTACTGAGCTGGGGCTGAAAAGCACCATGCTGAGCTGGGCATTCGATTATGGGGGGGGGGGGAATTAGCTTTTATTTCTTGGTTTGAAAAGAATAAAGTAGAATTTAGTTTCTCAAACTCCCAGTGTCCCTTGTCTTGAATAATGGGGGGGGGGGGGGAGAGAAAGAATGGTCTTTAATGGACTCACTCAGACGCTGTCTGCCTTTCACCCATTGACGCAGCTGAGAATAAGGCTGGTATCATTCTGGGGTGTATTAACGTGAGAGTTGTAGGTAAGTTGCGGGAGGTCATTGTCCCGCTCTGCTCAGCACTGGGAAGGCCTCAGCTGGAGTCCTGTGTCCAGTTCTGGGCGCCACACTTTACAAAAGATGAAGACAAATTGGATTGAGTCCAGAGGAGAGGAACAGAAAATGATCAAAGGTTTAGAAAACCAGAGCTGTGGGAAATGGTTAAAAAAAGTGGGTCTGTTAGTCTTGAGAAAAGCAAACTGGTGATGGTCTGCAGACATGTTAAGGGCTGTTATACAGAGACTGGGAATCAGTTGTGCCCCATGGCCATTGAAGGAAGGATGAGAGGTAAAAGTGTTAATATGCGGGGAGGAAGATTTAGATTAGAGATGAGGAAAACTTTCTAACCATGCAGGTATTTAAGCTCTGGAATAGCTTCCAAGGG